GAAGGAGGAAGAGGGGAAGGAGGAGCAGGAGGAGTAGGATGAGGTGGAGGATGAGGGTGAGGATGAGGAGAAGGATGTGGATCAGGATGACGATGAGGATGGAGGAGGAGGAGGACCAGTGATAACCCAGGAGCCATCAATGATGCTGTAATCGACCCTCCCTCCAAGCTCCCTCTTCAGAGGCCCCTGCAAGGGCTAATTTCCACTGAGGGAACTGCACTGTTGGAGGGCAACCGATTGAAGAGTCTGAAGCTTGCGTTCTAACGATCCTGAACCGTGCCAGAACGCCATCCCTGGGACTCCGACACCGCGAGTCAACCTACATAAATGTTGCACCCTCATAATCCCGAGTTCTGCCAAAACGCCATTCCTGGTACGTCGATCATGGGAATCCGTGGGACGAAGGTGCGCGGCGCTGAAGCGAGAGCCACAGTTTGAAAAGGAATCGCCCTCAATCCGTGAAACACTTGCAAGTTCTAGAAGCGAATGTGCACGGCGCTAAGACGAGAGCCACCTGTTGAGAACCACCCGCCCTCAACCCGTGAAGCTCTTGCAAATCTTTAAAAGGAATGTGCACGTTGCTAAGGCGAGAGCCAGATTTTGAAAACCACCCGCCCTCAATCCATGAAGCTCTTGCAAGTTTTTGTAACGAATGTACGCGGCGCTGAGGCGAGAGCCACATCTTGAAAACCATCCGCCCTCCATGTGTGAACCTGTTGTCGTTTTTATGCTTCAGGGCCACTAGTGGTGAGGAACTATCAGGCGAAACGCCCGGACCGCCCTAAAAACGGGCCTCGGGGTGCGACAGGGAGAAGTTGTGGATAAAGAAAAGGAGAGGAGGAGGAATAGGAGGAGGAGGCGGAGGAGGAGGAGGGGGAGGAGGAGGAGGAGGAGGAGGAGGAAGAGGAAATGGAGGAGGAGGAGGAGCTGGAGAGGGACCAGGGGAAGGTGGAGGGCGGGAAAGTAGGAGACGGCAACGACGAGGAAGGCATCGATTCCAGAAGTGTGTCCCACGTTGGGGCGAAAGCGCCAATGTAATCGACGAGAGTCGATCACCGATCCTGAAATTTTGCCAACGCGCAGGCAGGAGTGAGGCCTCGAGGCAGACGGAGGCATGAGGAAGGCATGGGGTGCAAGCCGATTGTCCTTAGGATGCGTGTTCTCAGCCCACTGCGTGTTTGTCCCGTTCAGCTCCACTGATAGCACGCAGTCTGTGTCGTCCCTGATCTCGCTGCCTGCGTCGTATTGAACTGCTGTGGTGGACAAGCACGCGTTGGCGCTGGCATACGTTCTGAGGATACTTTCATGAAAGGATGCTGCGCTCAGCTCTGCAGGGAGCTGCGGTCTCACACTCCACTCCCCGATCAGACCGTCGGTGCTGCTGCTGTAGTGCTGTCGCGGTGATTTTTTTCATCTGCCGCCGTGGGCCCGGAGTCCTCCGCGCACCCCGAGTGCGAGGTCCTCGTGCAGGAAGCCTTTCTCCTTCCCATTCTCCTCTTTCTCCTCCACCGAAGGCCCCAGTGGCAAAGTTCGCATGGCGGCCCCGCCCCCATTTCGGCACGCCCCCCCACGCGCTTCGTGGCTCCACTGGGAGCTCCACCGAAGGCCCTAGCGGCAAAGTTCGCATGGCGGCCCCGCCCCAATTTCGGCACACCCCTCACACGTTTCGTGGCTCCACTGGGAGCTCCACCGAAGGCCCTAGCGGCAAAGTTCGCATGGCGGCCCCGCCCCAATTTCGGCGCACCCCTCACACGCTTCGTGGCCCCATATGGAGCTCCACCGAAGGCCCCACTGGCAAAGTTCGCGTGGCTGCCCCGCCCCCATGTCGGCACACCCCTCGCACGTTTCGTGGCCCCACCTGGGAGCTCCACCGAAGGTCCCAGTGGCAAAGTTCGCATGGCGGCCCCGCCCCCATTTCGGCACACCCCCAACGCTTCGTGGCCCCACGGGGAACTTCACCGAAGGCCCCAGTGGCAAAGTTCGCGTGGCTGCCCCGCCCCCATGTCGGCACACCCCTCACACGTTTCGTGGCCGCCAAAGTTTGCATGGCGGCCCCGCCCCCATGTCGGCACACCCCTCACATGCGTCGTGGCCACACAGGGAGCTCCACCGAAGGCCCCAATGGCAAATTTCGCATGGCGGCCCCGCTCCCATTTCGGTTCTGTTTTCATACGCTTCGTGGCCCCCCAGGGAGCTCCACCGAAGGCCCCAGCGGCAAAGTTCGCATGGAGGCCCCGCCCCACTTCGGCGCACCCCTCGCACGTTTCGTGGCCCCGCTGGGAGCTCCAGCGAACCATCACGCATAATGCGGTACTCTCAGCTGCATCTGGTTGGGTCCTTCGCCTGGATAATTTGATTCCTTTGTTTTCGCCATTGCCGCCACGCTTGTGAGCCGGCGAAGATGGCCTAGCCAACCGCTCATTGACGAAAGGTGCCCAATGTTGATCGTGCCTATTATTCATGGCGTTGTAGCTTCCGCCCAGCAGTGTACTCAACCAGCAGGCCGCGTTAGCCACGCTGTTCCACCAGCTGAGTCAAGCCCGTGTCCTTCGGGCGTGCTCGCCGTGTATGCTCGGAATGTTCTGGTTTTGTGTCTACCTGTCTAGTTCGTGCTGCGTCCTGATCCTAACCCCCCTCTTTCCGTAGGGATGATCGCCGTCCGTTTTCCTCCTCCTCCTCCTCCTCCTCCTCCTCCTCCTCCTCCCCGTCCCCCCCCTCCTCCTCCTGCTGCTCCTCCTCCTCCTCCTCCTCCTCCTCCTCCTCCTCCTCCTCCTCTTTCTCCTCCTCCTCCTCCTCCTCCTCCTCCTCCTCCTCGAAGAGACCCTTTCAGATGACAGCTGTGGGCTCCACTCTCTTCCCCGCTCTGCCCGGCGCACAGCTCTCGCCCTTTTTCCAGCCCCTGTGTCCTCCAGGCCACCCGCAGGCGCGAAGGTGGCCGTTCCTCGCGTCTCGCTTCTGAGGACTTGTGCGCTGCCCTTCTCCGTCGGGGCTGCGCGAGGGCCCGAACCTCATCGGGCTCCGCACTTCCGCGCGGCGCGAGGCGCGAACACGGGTGATCCGGGTGCCCACAGTGTGGGCGGCTTGTAGTGGGCTCTTCTGCACATGTCATCGTTGTGCTCCCCCGCCATGCCACCGCACGTGCCATGCCGTGGCATGGCGCCACGGCGGTGGGCTCACTTCTGCACGTGCCGTGTCATGGCTCTGGGGCAGGCGTTCGCTGTGATCTTCCACGCCGCTGAGCACCTCGCGCCGCCGTTGCCGCTGGGCCAGGCACGGAGACACGCGCGGCCCTCAGCTGAGAGCGGGGAAGCGTCCGACGTCGCTGCGAACTGTGATCCTCAAGTGTGGACTCTTCAGGAGCGCAGGAACTCACAGCCTGTCAATGGAATCGTCGGGTGGTGGAGAGAGGATGAACGAGGAGGAGGGTGACCACGCGCTTCCCCACTTGCTGGCGCGACTCCCTGTTTCTCCTTTGGTGCTTGGGTGCCTTTCTGCCCACTTGCGTGTCGCAGACAAGGTTGCCTGACTGTTCTCGGGGGTCTTCCCTTTGTTCTATTCGGGAAAAGCACTTCCCAATGTACCATGTCCAGTGCCAGCTTCCGGATTGGTCATCTCGCAACCTTCGTGCTTTGGTGGTCACGCGGCTGGTACTGCGGCTGGCATTGGCAGTTCCACAGCCAGGTACCTCGTGGGGCCCGTGCCACGAGGTCTTTCGCCTTACTTGCTATTTGTTCCTGCCAACTCTTGATTCGCGCCATATCCGCGCCCTTCGAAGCCCAGCGAATGTGCAGGCTAGGGGTATCCACAGCAAGGAAAAGGATACTTAAGAGAAAGACCTGGCCATGCAGTCTTCACCAGACGGTCGAGGGAGACTCCGATTCGCCAATGGAGAGAGTACAAGTTCCAGGGGGGAGCAAGCCCTTGTGATGCCTTGCAAGCTGGTCTCATGCGTGTACTCAGAAATACAGGCTGAGAGCCTGTGGCCTAGTTCAGGCTGTTCGACCTGAGATCGCGATGTGGCAGGTCTGCTGGCGGGCAAGACAGCGCAGTCTTAAGGAGCTGGGTGCTATTCAGAGCAATGCACGTCTAGTGGGTGCCAGAGGTGTATTCGCTTGTAACACGCACCGACGTGCTCGAAGGCGTGCTGGTTGCTGGTCGACAGAAGCAAGCGAAATGGGGTTTATGGGTCTATGGGAGCGTGCCTGTAGGATCCCATCAAGATTGGTACATTGGGGTAGCCTCCAATTTGTGGAACCTGTTGTTCCATTGTTGATCAACTGCGTGCAGCGCCCTCTCAGAACTGTGCCAGGGACATTTCTGATGTCACACTATACAAGCACCGCGCATGCCCCTGCACCCAGAAGGGGGTTGATGATGTGGGGGTCGCGTGGTCGTCGGTTCCTTAGTCGGCCTACCTAGAAGAGCAGGTGACGACAGCAACCGTTTTTTGCGAGTAAAGTATCTACAGTTGTATGCAGTAGGACGTTGGCTGGTCACGACGATGGCGATGATGATGGTGGCAGCGAGGATAGCGATGATGGTAAGGCTGATGCTTCAATGGTGATACGTCGTCGGCGGCGGTGATGATATAGTGCAACACCCAGAAGAGGTGTGTGAGGAGTGTGACAACACGCAGGAGCAGAACGAAACAGGGGATGTAGTAGCATCAGCGCTATTCGAATCCACAGTAAAACCAGCAGTGGCCCCAGCCTGGGCGGACGGGCTGTTTGGGCCCGCTGGACCGACAGATGCCGTGGCACTCCCAGCGCTGCTTTGTCCTCCTCCTCCTTCTCGACGTTGAGGTGCAGCCCGAATGGTGGGATTGGCTCTCAAGGTATCGGGCGATGGCCCGGTGCCTTATCCGGGCCCGACTTTCCTGGACCATTGTTGCAGGCGCGCTGAGTTCTTGAGGTTTGGAAGGCCATTACGTGCGCCTTACATATTATCGAAGAGAACCACGGAAAATCACCGCGGCCCCCCGCCTTTGGAAACGCCCATGCGGCCAAACATTGGGCCGAAGTCTGGCCAAGCTATTGGACGATGTGTTCCCCCAGATGTCGTGGAACCCCTTGGGGGAACACTTGGGAGATGACGAGGAAGAAGGAGGAGAGGGAGGAGAAGGAGGCCGAGGAGCAGATGGAGGAAGACAAGAAAGCATCTTGAAGCCCTCTTGGGCCTTCCTGGGGGCTTCCTGGGAGCCTCTTGGGGGCCTCCGAGGGACCTCTTGGGTACCTCCTGGGGCCTCTTGGCGGCCTCCGGGGCCTTCTGGGGACTTCTGAAGGGCCTCTGAAGGACCTCTTGGCCTTCGGAGGCTTCTCTCTGGGCAGTCGTGGGTACCTCTTTGGGCGCTTTAGGGCCGTCATGGAGGTCCATTGTGCCGCCTCGGGATTGTCTTGGGGGCCTCTTGCGCCGTCTTGGGGCCCTCTTGGGCCGTCTTGGAGCCCGTCTTGGACCCGTCTTGGAGCGTCGGAAGCCCGAAAGGGCGAGCACGCTGAACTCATTGAACGCATTTTTGGAACCCTGGAGATTCTCTTGGAGCCCTCTTTGGGCGTCTTGGGGGCCTCCTGGGCCGTCTGGAGGACATCTTCGGCCATCTTGGGGCCTTTCTTGCCGTCTTGGAGGTCATCTCGGTAGCCTTGGGGGCCATCTTGGGGCCGTCTTGGGGGAGGCGGGAGCCTCCTTTTCTGGGTGGCCAGCGGGTTGGGCCGAGACTCGCTGGGAGCATCAACAAGAGACAGCACCACGCAGAAGTTCAGCACGCCATGCACCCCCTGTGTCAAGGCAACACCCGACGACAACGAGGCAGACAACGGAGCGAGCAGGACGGAGAGGAGAGGGGGGGAGGGGAGGGAAGAGAAAGGGAGAGCGAGGAGGCGGGAGCCGCCGAGCCCCGCCAAGAACGAGCCACGCAGGGTGGGAGAGGCAAGTGGCGCACTGGCAGATAACGTCGAGCTGCAGTCGGAACAGCTGGGTGCATGGCTTTCTGCTTCCCGCTGCTTCTGTGGCTTCCCCCCGCCTGCGAAGCAGTGTGGTGGTGAATCGAAGCTCGTTGTGGTATCTCGCAGAGATGCTACACGCTTTGTTTTTTTTCCCAACCATCCTGTGGTGTTGGGTCCTCGTTTTGAAGAGACAGCGCCCCGCGTCCACTCCTCCCGCTGCCCCTCCCCCTCCTCCTTGCGTTTCACCCACCCAGCACAGCGTTTCGTAGCCCCATAGGGAGCTCCACCGAAGGCCCCAGTGGCAGGGTTCGCATGGCGGCCTCGGGCCATTTCGGCACACCCCTCACGAGGATCGTGGCCCCATAGGGAGCTCCACCGAAGGCTCCAGTGGCAGGGTTCGCATGGCGGCCTCGGGCCATTTCGGCACACCCCTCACGAGGATCGTGGCCCCATAGGGAGCTCCACCGAAGGCGCCAGTGGCAGGGTTCGCATGGCGGCCTCGGGCCATTTCGGCACACCCCTCACGAGGATCGTAGCCCCATAGGGAGCTCCACCGAAGGCGCCAGTGGCAGGGTTCGCATGGCGGCCTCGGGCCATTTCGGCACACCCCTCACGAGGATCGTGGCCCCATAGGGAGCTCCACCGAAGGCGCCAGTGAGAGGGTTCATGGCGGCCTCGGGCATTTCGGCACACCCCTCACGAGGATCGTGGCCCCATAGGGAGCTCCACCGAAGGCGCCAGTGGCAGGGTTCGCATGGCGGCCTCGGGTCATTTCGGCACACCCCTCACGAGGATCGTGGCCCCATAGGGAGCTCCACCGAAGGCCCTAGTGGCAGGGTTCGCATGGCGGCCTCGGGCCATTTCGGCACACCCCTCACGAGGATCGTGGCCCCATAGGGAGCTCCACCGAAGGCCCCAGTGGCAGGGTTCGCATGGCGGCCTCGGGCCATTTCGGCACACCCCTCACGAGGATCGTGGCCCCATAGGGAGCTCCACCGAAGGCGCCAGTGGCAGGGTTCGCATGGCGGCCTCGGGCCATTTCGGCACACCCCTCACGAGGATCGTGGCCCCATAGGGAGCTCCACTGAAGGCGCCAGTGGCAGGGGTCGCATGGCGGCCTCGGGCCATTTCGGCACACCCCTCACGAGGATCGTGGCCCCATAGGGAGCTCCACCGAAGGCCCAGTGGCAGGGTTCGCATGGCGGCCTCGGGCCATTTCGGCACACCCCTCACGAGGATCGTGGCCCCATAGGGAGCTCCACCGAAGGCCCCAGTGGCAGGGTTCGCATGGCGGCCTCGGGCCATTTCGGCACACCCCTCACGAGGACCGTGGCCCCACTGGAGCTCCACGGAAGGCGCCAGTGGCAGGGTTCGCATGGCGGCCCCGGGCCATTTCGGCACACCCCTCACGAGGATCGTGGCCCCATAGTTGTGCTGCTTCAACAACCGCGCCTGGGCGTCGTACTCCGCCTTGTCGACGTGCAACGCCACCTCCTCCCTCATGGCTCTCAAGGCCCTTTCCTGCTTCTGCTCCTCGGTGAGAGGGACGCCGTCCTTGTCGTCGTCGGCGCCCGCGAAGACGACCACGAACGTGTCCCTGAGCATGTCGGGCTCCGGCGGGGAGCCGTGGCCACATAGGGAGCGCGGGCGAAGATGGTATTCACAATTGCGGTATTCATAATTGCATATGGTTGGGTCTTTCGCCCGGATAATTGTAGTCTTGTGGTGAGGTTACGTTTTCGTGCTGTATCGAGGTTACTCGAAGACCACTTAAACAAACAAGACGCTCGTGAGGCGATCATTGGAATGCCAGCCGGGGGCTTCTTGGGGGCCTCTGGAAAGCCATCCTGGGGGCTGAGGACTCTGATCATTTTGGTTTTGACATTTTAGGATCATTTTGCGGCCCTGTTGGGCTTCTCTTCTTTCCTTCTCCTCCTCCTCCTCCTCCTCCTCCTCCTCCTCTCCTCGCGCTCGTGTGGGAAATCGCGGTGACCTCCAGCGAAATTTGGGATATCAAGCACATGCAACAATTGTGTGTGTCTTTATTTCTCTGTGTGTGTGAGTGTGTGTGTGTGTGTGTGCGTGCGTGCGTGCGTGCGTGCGTGCGTGCGTGCGTGCGTGCGTGCGTGCGTGCGTGCGTGTGTGTGTGTGTGTGTGTGTGTGTGTGTGTGTGTGTGTGTGGGGGTGTGCGCGTGCGTGCGTGCGTGCGTGCGTGCGTGCGTGCGTGCGTGCGTGCGTGCGTGCGTGTGTGTGTGTGTGTGCGCGCGCGCGCGTGTGTGTTTGCGTTAGTGTTTGTGCTTGCGTGTGTACTTCTCTTTCCTCCACCCCCTCCCCCTCCTCCTCCTCCTCCTCCTCCTCCTCCTCCTCCTCCTCCTCCTCCTCCTCCTCCTCCTCCTCCTCATCGTGTGGTGTCATTGGACATTCGTGCGCGTCTGGCGCAAGCTTTTACTCCCGAGGTGTTTGCCCAGGGCCACCCGTCGGACCCGTCGGAGGCCCCTGGCGGCCCCGCGCCTGGCCCTGGCCCCCCTCGCCCGTTGGTTCTGGGGGGCCTTGCGGCGGCCTCTGGAGGCCCCGCCCCGTGTGCGGGTGCCGCGGGGTCTGCCCCCGAAGCCGGGTCGAGGGCGTGCACCCTGCGGGCTCTTGGCCTCGCGGAGGCCGACCATCCCTTCGGCGCGAGCGCTGGGGCGGCGCCTCTGCGCAAAGGACGCAGAGGGCGAGTTGTCCGACGCCTCGCTTTTCTTCGAGGTGTCTGAGGGAGGCCCGGCCTAGGCCTCCAGGAGCCGCCTTCAGGGCTCTGTCTCATCTCGCGCAGCTGTGGTGATGCGCATCGCTGCCGGCGGGGCAGGCAGCATTGCACAGCTGTGGTGCTACGCAGGGCTCGCGGGTTGTGGTTGCTCCACGTTTCGTAGTAAAAGGGAGGGGGTCACAACCCCTCCAGACCAGCAGTTTTAGACCCCCCTCAGACCAGCCATGAAACGGCAGGCTTTTGCCCAGACCCCCTTGAAACCTTCCAATACCGTCTCTCTTGGGTGGTCGAGGTCCGTCTTGCGGTTGCCGTCCAGGACGCTCTTACATCAAACCCATTGGATTCGGATGGATGGATGATCTTTGTCTCCTTGGCCGGCTCTCAGAGGCCGTGATACGCCTGGGCTCAAGCGACAGGGTCAATGCAAATGGGGGTCAGCCAGAGCGCCAGATCTTGCAGGATCTTGCAGAGCCAGGGTTGCATTGACCTGGGCTTGCGCGCAGGACCCTGCAGGATATTGCAGGATCCTGCAAAGCCCGACTGACCCGGGTTTGCATTGACTCGGGTCAATGCGTCCCTTTTACGACCCAGCGGATTCCCGAGAAGACCGCCAGACGGGACCTGGTACAGTCTTGCGGCATTGCTTGAGATGTGGACTTTAGGGGCTGAGCTCCCGACGCCTCGAGGACAGTCGAGCGGGGAGTCCCAATGGCGCCCGGGAGCTCGCGAGAGCGCCCAGCAGGATTCCCGTGAGTTTAAGGTCTGGGGCGCTTGATCGGCCACGCGTAGAGAGTGGTAGGGGCAGTGGGAAAGCTTATTAGAAACACCCCTTCTTCTAATAAGCGTTCCCCTCTCCCCCTACCCCCTCGTGCGCGCCGCCAGCGTGAAGCGTATTGAAGATCATTTGCAGCATTCGATGCTAAGGGCTATCAGGGACCAACGGGCCCCTCACTCGGTGCCTACGGCACGGAGGCGGATGGTGATGGTGGTAGAAGGCCAGGCCATGATCTGGCTTTGGGGCAATGATCGGATCGGTGAGTTGTGCGCTTGCAGCGGCGGCGGCGCGGGTCACAGCAGACGAGGCAGCAGCAGCAGCAGCAGCAGCAGCAGTGGCAACAGTGACAGCTGTAGCAACAGCGACAGTGGCAATGCAACAGCAGCGGCAATAGCAGCAACGGCAAACATAACGCATACTCAGGAACAGCTGCGGAAACAGCAGCAACAATAGCAGCGACAGCAGCGAGATCAGCAACGCCAGCGTCAACGGTAGCAGCACGTATAGACACACTGAGGCCGGAGGCACAGCCAGCGTGCC